TGTCATAAAGCATCGGTTACTGTGACTTCAATAAATGCAGAGCTGTACTATATTGGGGAAGGGAAAAATTTGGAAATGGTTTTCTAGGCCAATGGCACACAATGCAGTAATATTCTAAACTCTCTTATAAGAGGTGTTTTCAACCGTAAAGGTTATATTAAGGTGGGTATCTTCTCTTTCAATCAGAGTCTTAAAGGTGCAGGAGGAATTAAGATTCTGGACTCCTGGATTGCAGATGTCCATGGGTCAGTTGTATGTAATTTCTACACATTGACTTAGACATTTTAGAGAAGCCAAATATCCATTAGAGAATGTTAATACTTGCCTATTTCAGTCAGGGTTTTCTTTGAAGTTTAAAGGGTTAAATGCTAGGTGAGATCCATGACTGAATAGTGGGAATCCCTTTAAGAAAACATTGTGTTGGATAGTAAGACCAGGCGCACTTTAGCTGCAAACTTGAGTACGATAAAAGCTCGAGTACAGGTTAGGTGGTCTTTGTAGATCTTGCTGACATTTTAGGTACATATCTTTCTTAAAATATTTTAAGGCCACCTTAATTGTTCCTGTATTTATAGAAAGAACAGTATCCTACATTATTGTACAGTAACCTGTTTACATGTGCTTTCTTTGGGAAAAAGTCTCTTGTATTTACAGTAGTGATTCGTTGTATGTATAAAGTGAGCAGGAACTACTGTAGGGGGAAGATGAAGAAGGGTTAGACTGAAGGCTGAGCAGGCCTATGGTCTTCACCAGCTGTGGAAGACACTGTATAAACCTGTGTCATCCCTTAATATCCTGGCTTTCTGTTCGGTCGTAGTCCCTAAAGCAGCCACCAACAGATGCAGTGCAGAGTAGCCAAGTCTCCTTCATTGGTCCAAGGTGATCTGTGTCTTACAGAAACAAATTACAGCTCCAGAAAGACACATAGACACATAGACAATGACACATTTTTAAAGAGTTTTCTTCTCCGCCACCTCTTGCCTACAGATCTGTAGTGGCGGGTACTGAACGTGATACCCATGTGCCACGGTTGTGCTGTGTGCTCATTGAGTCCCAGGTGCAGGTCCGTGGCTCGGTGGCACTGCGTTTGCATTAACGACCTCTCCTTTTACGTCAGCAATTTCCCTGAGTGTCAGCTGCATTAGGAACAGCCAGCAAAGATGTACAATTGTGGAATATGGTAAAAAGTAAGAATCACAGAATCACAGAATGGTAGGGGTTGGAAGGGACGTCTGGAGATCATCTAGCCCAACCCGCCTGCTAAAGCAGGACCACCCAGAGCAGGTTACACAGGATCGCGTCCAGGTGGGTTTTGAATATCTCCAGGGAAGGAGACTCCACAACCTCCCTGGGCAGCCTGTTCCAGTACTCGGTCACCCTTAATGTAAAGAAGTTTTTCCTCATGTTGAGGCGGAACTTCCTGTGCTCCAGTTTGTGCCCTTTGCCCCTTGTCCTGTCACTGGGCACCACTGAAAGGAGCCTGGCCCCATCCTCTTGACACATGCCCATTAGGTATTTATAAGTGTTGATAAGGTCCCCTCTCAGTCTTCTCCAGGCTAAAGAGCCCCAGGTCTCTTAGCCTTTCCTCAGAGAGGTGCTCCAGTAGTTCAGCCCTCTGCTGGACTCTCTCCAGTAGTTCCCTATCCCTCTTGAACTGGGGGGCCCAGAACTGGACACAGTACTCCAGATGTGACCTCAACAGGGCAGAGTAGAGGGGGATGAGAACCTCCCTCGACCTGCTGGCCACACTCTTCTTAATGCACCCCAGGATACCATTGGCATTCTTGGCCACAAGGGCCCATTGCTGCCTCATGGTCCACTTTCTGTCCACCAGAACTCCCAGATCCTTCCCCGCAGTGCTGCTCTCCAGCAGGTCGACCTCCAGCCTGTACTGGTGCATGGGGTTGTTCCTCCCCAAGTGCAGGACCCTACACTTGCCCTTATTGAACCTCATTAAGTTCCTCTCTGCCCAGCTCTCCAGCCTGTCCAGGTCAATAATCTGCCACCCAAAATGAAAAGGTTGGCAGGACTAAACTGAGACAGTGTTTCATTTGGGCAGATGTGTTATAGGTTGTTTTTAAGGTCTGGAGGCAAGTTTTGGATCCATCATGATCCTCTTACATCTGAGTATTCTTTTACTTCATAAAAAATAAGAAAAAAAGTGGTCTTGTGCTCCTTTTTGGGACATGGGCATGTGAAGCCTGTTGCTATGTTAGGACCTTTGATGTCCATTTCGGATAAAATTCTTGTTTAAGTTTCATGCCTTTTTTAGGAAATTTGGCGGGGCTTTTTTTTTTCTCTTCTGGTGGTTCTGTATGATTTTTCTCTGATAACATACAGCTTTTTTTTATCTTCTGTATTTTTTATTTGTGGAGATACTCCCAAATATCATTGTGTATTTTTTAATTTTTTATTTTGTATGTTTACTCTTTGCTGATCACTTTAAAGCTTATAGAGGCATATATAATATTCTAAAATAGGATTAGTTGTAATATTTTAAAAGGGAATAACCTTGGAACCTCAAATACCCTTGTAGTATCCTGTGGTATGATACCACTGAAAGATGTATTTGCAAGTCTGCTTTTGTAGTCGTCCTTTTTGGTAGCCTGTATCATCTGTAAAAATAGTAATCTCAGAATAAATTTGTAGTGAATTCTTTGTATGATGATTTAAAACTCCAGAAGATAAATACTTTCCTTATCTTACAGGCCAGACCAAACAGCTGAACCCACATGTTTGGGTCATTGAAGCAATAAGGAAACTCATTGAAAGCAGTGGCTCAGGGGATCCTCTAGTTACATCAATTGAACAGTCTTGCCCTAACTTTCTACAATACTCAAATAGCTGTCCTGAATGCAGGTTCAAATGGGTTTTCAGAAGTTACAGACCTAGTGACCTGTGGAAATATTTCATGTTACATGGTTTCTTGTGGAAGAAGAAATACCAAATGGCATTCATAATGTCACACTTCTCCTAAGAAGGTATAATTCTTAACTTTCTCCTCCATGAGTCTCCAACTGTGACAAGAAATGCTAGAACTTGTGTTGTGGTTTGTTAAAAAATGTAAATTTGTTCAAAATTGTTTGTCAGTCTCTCAGAAAATTAGAAGTAATTAAATAGAAAGTTCTACAGATTTCTGCCATTTCTGTACCCTCTCTCAAGATGGTGTGAGAAGCAGACAATTGTAATAACTTGCTGCTACTCCTTTCCAGCTTAATTTGATCTTGTTCCTTAATTCTGACAGATTGTTTTTAATTTTCCCATCTGTTCCATAAAAATTGCAAGTGATTGACTCCTAGGAAAAAAATAATGTCTAATAGCTGAGCCATTTTTAATTAGTTGGTATGAGTTATTTAATGAGACGCGCTGAAGAAGGCAAGCCAAGTAAGAGATTGGGCCTGGGGTGGTGGAAGTAAAGAAAGGTAAAGGGCAACTGTATGCTTCAGGAAGTCTCTGCTCTTCTCTTAACTTCAGCTTTAGGCTGCTGCTCTCTCCAATTTCAGGCAGTGCACATCCTTAGACCCATGAACAAAACCCAAAGGTTCAGTAACAGTAATTACTTTCCCCCTTTTATTTAGTGCAACGCCTGCCCTCAAGTCGGTACCACTTTGGGGAGAGGAACCATCATGAAAAGGAAAAAAAGATCAAAGAATAATGCTTAAGTAAACTTAAAATCATTGTAGGCTGTGGTTTAACTTAATTTCTTCTAGCAAACTACACTGTAACTTGCAGATATTCTAGTGTTGGGTTAGAAGGAAGCCCTGTGCCATTAAACAGAGTGAATGTTCTCCTCCAGCCGCTCTGAAGACTAAAGCCTTTGCTTTAAAATTGCCTGCAAATGACATCTCCTGGGGCAGGAAGACATCAATATGCAGTACAGGTCTTTGAGAACAGCAACCATGAATATAAATGTTAACATCTGGACTTCTCCTGTTTTGGTTTTTATATGTTATTCTAATAAACATTAACATTATTTTTAACAATCATCATATAGCAGTTTCTCTGGCAGCTTGAGACTTCATTATTAAATTGAGTAGTGAAAATAAACATACAGCTCCTTTACAAGGAAAGCTGAAAGTTTGACTCAACTCTGCAAATATGCTATTGTTAGTCCAATCTATTGTAGAATTCAGAGAGTAATGAATTAACTTTCCAATTGCATACAGTGGGGCATAATAAATGAGAGAATGCTACCATGGTAATGAGCAAAATATAGACTTGTTTTTGCAGCTTTTAATGGGCTACCGACTAAGGAGAGAGACTTTTGTCTGCTTTTTTTTTTTTAGCTAGTAAAATCTGAGAGTAATTTAAGTGAGCAGAGAACATCAGTACTCCACACTTTCAGAGCATCTCCAAATACTCAGCCTGTCAGGTTTCCCTATGTATTTCAAACAACCAAAGAGGATGGGGGAAAGATTAAAATGTGACTTCTAAACCATTGAATGTGGTAGCAGTTAAAACTGCTTCTGGTTTAAATTTGTACAAAATTGGACTTGGATGATGTCTGTTTTAAGGCCCAAGCTCAGCAAGTAGCCACAAATAGGAGATACTCTGTGGTTATGCGGAAGTCTCTGGCTTTCAATGAGACTAGACTGTGCCTAAGAGTTAGACTATCCTAATCTGGAATTGATATAAAAGAAGCAAATTTTTTTATTCTTAAGGATTTTTTTCCTTGTTATTGCTATCCACTAGCAGTGTTCCTAGAGTTGGACTTCTTTTTTTTTTCTGTTGGGGAGAAGGAACTGTTTGGTGGCTGGCTTTGCATGGCAGGACAAAAAAGTGACTTAATTTTGGGTAAATTCTCATGGGCTTTGGGAACATGACCCATTATCTGTTGCTCTTGATGGACTTTGGACAAGCATCTTGTTGCATTGTGGCTTTAGTAATAAATCATCTACGTCTTTATGTAGTTAAAACTAAATTCAGAAGATGTAAGTTTAATAGTTCTGCGTTAATCCTTCATAAAGCATTGATCTTTTGTTTTTTATCTTCTTCCTCAGTGTGTCAATCCTGATCTTTAATACTTCTCGGCAGTGCTTTGTTGTGGTGAAGCAGTTCCGCCCAGGTAATCCTCTTTTTTTTTTAGATTTACTTTTGCTCTCTAGTGAAGCAAGCTTTTAAGGGTTTAGCAGTTAAAAGTTGGTGCATCTGTGGTGATAAAATCTTTGTTCTATATTCTGTTTCTTTGTATGGTAGCCCACCCTTTTCAGTTGGGCAGAATTTCTAACCAGGGAAATTTCCATTACAGATGGAGCGAATGATCAGGGTAGCCTTACTTTCTGCTTTTGGGCAATCCTCTTTTGGATGAAATTAGAAACAATTCTACAAAGATCATGCAATAGATTGCTTTTATTTGAAGTTCCTTCTTGACCTAGCTAGTATTTAGAAGCATAGTATTTCCTTTTTTTTTGTCTTAAATATTCCTCTTTTTTTTTAAAGGTGTTATTGAGCATTGTATACTTTGGAATTTAAAATGATGGAATATGAGGACTATGCTTTTTCATTAATACATGGACAACTTCACTTTACCAGTTATTATTATGAATTTAGGATAATATACTATTTTTTTTTGTATCTGTTATTTTAATTCAAAGCAATATTTACTTTCTGGAATTTAGAAATTAAATGCATATTCTCTGCATGTTAATTAAAAAAATCACAAGATATTTCACTGACTGTTGCTAAGAGACCGTTTCAAGACTGTTCACGGTAGACTTTACAGGAAACTTTCTGGGGTGGTGTCATGCTGTCCTTTCTTTCTGACAGTGATTGATAGGCTCTTAAGTGTTGTGCAGCACTGTTACGCTGAGAGTGCATACTTCTCGTGAAGGACTATATTGCCTATTATAAAGTGTTTGTTTATTTGTTTATCAATAATCCAGTGTCCTTTTTTTTGCCAGCTGAATAAAAGCTTATATAGCTGTTGCTCTCTTTGAGGCAATCTGAGGCAGAAACCTTCATATATGTGCATATATATGTATATATGTACTGAACAATGACACATTCGTTACATCACCCTATGGATGTGTCAAATCTGCCTCAAAAGACTGGACTGTTCTTGGAATTAAACTGTTCCAGAGGCTGAAGCTGCTCAGAACCCTGGCCTTAGGGACAGTGGTCCGTCAGACACCACATAGCAGTTCAGTGATCACAACCATTCCCTGCCATTACTCACATCACTCTAATTGTATTTCTGTTCCATGGTTATTGTCTGCCTTGGTGCCTGTTCCACAAAGTGAAAATAAAGGCTGAGACTTTCCGCGTTGCTAGCTCCTAGCAGGGTCCTACCAGGAAAGCGATAGCTCGTTACTTGTGAGCAAACAGCTGCCGCTCACTCACCAGGCACATCTCCTGCACGTGTGCCGGTTGACATATGTGCTTGCCTTTCCTTAGGGTGTGATGTCAGGATCAGGCTTTCCCCCTGAAGTCTGTGCTGCTTGTAAAGGCAGTCAGCCCTCCCTGTACACTCCCACTCCATCCCTTCGGCAGCACCAGCTCTTCTGCAGTCACAGCAGAGGTCTTAACTTACATGGCTGATAACAGAAAATTTTGAGGATTAGGCAGTTTATCTGATTTACCATGCTGGCTTGAGGGGTGGCAGGAGCACACAACCGGGGTGAGGCAGACAGGACCACATTTTTCAATGTACACATTTGGAAGGAGCAGAGAAAAAAAAATTACATGTATATCTCAGTGGTTTCCATATTAGTTCCTTAGTGGCAAAGGTCTTGGACAGTCCTCATTTTGGTAGTCAATTGACCACATGTTTTCAAATATAATAAAATAATATGTTCCTGGGAAAGGCTAGGGTTAGTACATATGAACGTGTGCCCTGGGTTTTTTACTGTAAGTATAATGACCTTTCAATGGATTGTGATGTTTGTTTTTGCTTTGACTTAAAATAAACAGTATCAAAGATTTGAATCATAAGCCATGTTCTGTTTCAGGAGGTACGAAACACTGGTGCAATCAAAGAGAAATCAGAAGTTTGAAGAAAAGCTAGTGTGTTCCCCAGTCAGCTAAACCCCACTAACCCTGCAGTCTCTGCTGTTGTTTTCTTCTCTTTAGGGATAGCAAACAAGTCCCAGTATGAGTCATCCAACAAGGCTGCTTTGAATAACAGTTACGATCTTATTTGATGAGTTTGAGCCGTCTATCCTTGGTCCCAGCTTTGCAGAAGGAAGGCAAATACATTAATTCTACTGGAGTTTCCACTCTGAGACTTCTTAGAACTGAGTGGCTTTGGGGTAATTAGTCAAGTTTAGTGAGCACTAGATGGTTGTTTGAGTCCTCTGTGCTGCTGCTCATCACATGTCCATTTGATGATGGAGGAGAGTGCCTGATGATGATGAAGTGGCAGTTTCTGATCAAAGTAGCATAAGCCACCAGAAAACAAGAGGGCAGTGAGACACGGCCCTAGTGGGTGGTGACTTTGCTGGGAGCTGAGCTCTTGCTTCTAGTTTCTGCTTTCCAAAGTCTTTGTGCATTTGCAATATGCTGACAACCTGTGATGAGGAAGAGGAGAGTCACAGGTTACCCTCCAAAGAGTGTGACCTAGACAACAGGCCACAGACTGCTTTTCCATCTGGTACTTTATCTCCCGTGGTGCATCAGTTGTGCAGTCAATTTTGCATCTCCATCAGAGGTATGGGAGACTCCTCTGTTCCCTGATGTTAGCAGACAGCTTGGTTTTCTAGGCTTTGCTTATCTAGGAGAGATAAATTGAGTTTGAATCTTTGCGAGGCTGGCAATACTGAATTCATACTCCAACTCCTTGGTGAAGGCTTTAGTATTTGGACTCTTTCATGGAAGTGGCTGGTACCACTTCTTTTCTTCCTTATCTACAGAGAAAAGCTGTTACTGGGCTTTTAAGTGTTGGCATATTGCAGGACTTTGCTGTAAAGAGGACTGCTGGATTAGGTACTTCTGGGAACGTAGTTTTTGATCTATGTGGAGCCTCATTGAGCTGAGAGAGAAAGAGAATGGCAGGTGCCTGCTAGAACAACAGGATGGGTTTCAAGGATTCAACAGACTTGTAACAGAGAGTTACTTTAATCACAGTTTCGTATTTCTGTGCCCCACTCTTACCTGCATCCTGTTCTGAAGGCCAAGTCCTTTAGTGGGATACGTGTTGCTCTGTTTTGTGTTCAGTGATATGGATATGTCAATACTAAAAAAGCAATAAAGCCTTAATAGTATTTGTCTCATCTCAGAGAGACCTTGGAGGTAGTTGTCATTTATGATAATTGTAATAGCTTTTAGAAGTTTTTGAAATAATGACAATGGACACCCCTCAAGGATCTGTTCCTCAGAGTCTGCATGGAATATTTTTTTTGCTGCCTTCATGCTGCATTTTAAAAAGAAACCTGAGCTCTAGTTGTGTCTTCAAGTAAGAAATGGAGGCTTCTTGACTGAATCTCAAAGGCCTAGATATACCTACCACAAACAGCTTTGAAAGTTTTAACTTCTGGAGAAAGATTAGTTTTTGGACAACAGACTGATCTAGACATCTCCCTTTCAAGTACTGATCTTGCTATACTACATTTCTGAGGTGTCGCAAGAAGCATTGCAGAAGGAGCCTAGGCACACATTTCTGGGGTATAGGCTCTTCCTCAGAGACTCAGTGCTTGAGAAGTCACTGTGGTACTTTTCTGCGACAACATTTTTCTAGAGACCTTGTTGTACATCACAGTTTTAACAATCAATAAGCTAAATCCAGTAACTGAAAGAACAAAAAGTTGTCCATTAAACTTGCGCTCTTTATGTATACCAGTTCTGCAAGATTTAGAATGGGAAATAAAAAATAAGCTCATTTGAAAACCGTTATGTGTATATGAAATATGCATGTAAAAGATTTTAATGGAATAAAAATAATTTCCATTTTTAAAATAGTTTTTTCAGGGTGTTTTATAACACTCTCATAGTAGCCTTGGGGATAGACACGAGGAAATTTCAAAGAAGAAACAATTGGGATTATATTGTAAGTTAAAGTTACAATGATCTGGAATTGTCAGTATTGATTCTTCGTGTGTTAACATCCAGTCCTGCAGTTCTCACTCAGGCAAAATTTCTGTTGACATCAGTAAGAGGTTTTGCTTAAATAAGGACTAAAATGTGTCATTTACACTTTCTTTAGGAGTGCATTACAGTGGCAGCTGTTTCTCAATTAATTCAAGAAATCTTTTTCAGATTCCACACAGGAATCTGTGCAAGGAACTATATGTTCAAAAGAGGATTTTTTTTTTTCAGGCAAACATACATGCTTTTCATACCCTTTCTAAATAACAGCTGAGTTGACAGGCTGAAAGACTCATCATTGTGCACATGGTACATAATGTGCAACCCAACTTTCCTGCAAGATAACTGCATAGTTTAAATTAAATCCTGATACCCGTATTGCCCAACAAATTGAAGCTGTAGGGCGCTCCTGGGCCACTTAGACTTCTTGGATGAACTAGCTTCCATTTTTTTTTCAAGGTGTGCATGAATTCATTCCAGATGATGTAAGCACATATAGATTTTAAAGAATAATTTTACAGAAATAGCAAGAGAAACTTTGTTCTCTAAAACTCCAGTTTCAGTGTGTCATGATTTTAACAGATAACACAACTGAGTTCCTCGTTACTTTCAAGTACTCTGATGGTTAAAATTTGCTAGGCAAAATTCGTGTACCATCTTTTTTTCTATTTAGCATGAATAAACTTAACACACCCACCCTTCTTTCTTTTTCTTTTTTTTTTTTTTTTTTTAAGCTGTTTACATGTGTGAAGTAGAAAGGCATCATCCTCAAGTCTTTCGGAATCAGGACAAAGAGAGCTTCTCTCATCTAGAGGATCCCTTACCTGCTGTGGTAGGGGTGACCTATGAACTCTGTGCTGGCATTGTAGACAAACCAGACCTTTCTTTAGAAGAAATTGCATGTGGGGAAATCTTAGAAGAGTGTGGCTATCGTGTTCCTGTTACAGGCCTAAGGAGGATCACTTCTTACAGGTAAATGGCAGTAGTTAAAACACTTTGCATTTTGTTGTTTCACAGATTGCTGAAGTGGCCTGAATGTAAATTAATTTTCCCTGTTGCCTTATTTAAGTAGTGTGTTGGAGGAACATGGGCATCTGAAAGTATATGAAAGGTGTAATTTTCAGCAAGTGAGAGGAGTATTTACAGAGACTTAAGGAATTATAAACTCATAATTGTGGGGTTGAATTCCCAGTAAGAATGATGCTACTGTGATTTTTTCCAAAGATTTATTTCCAAAGGAAAAGTTGCATTGAGCTTTTCAAAGCAGTTTGTTGCAGTACTAGAAAACAGCCCATCTTTACTGTGTCAGAGTTTTCCATCTCTGATTCTTATTATTCTGATTAACAATAGATGCTGCCCAAGGTGGACTCTGATTTACCATTAACACAGTTTTGCAGAAGCATGAGAACCTGTGCCATTAGATCTTTTCATAATATTTGGGCTGTAATTAAGCCTGCGTTGAACTGGACAATAACTAACGTTGTATATGAAGATTTTGCTGATTTGACTGAAAATTTTTACATTATATTTTTACAGGGTTTCAAATAGTTATTGAGATAGATTTTGACATGTTTTAAAACATACATTAGGAGTAAAAGGACAACTTACTATGTAAGAGAAAAAATACAAAATGTGAGTGATTGGAGGGGAAAAAAACAAACCAAAAAACCTCTAAGGAGAAACTTTGCATGCCACTTTAATCCCGTTATATCTCCTTCCCAGCTTTTGGTATTGTTATCCAAAATGTATGTATGTTTGTATTTTACAGAGAAGGCAGCAGGTTTTTTACTTTCTTTATTTTGCTTGACATCTCCATTGAACTAGGCCCTGTCATTGGTTTTTAATTTGGGAATTGAATACAAATCCACAGCTGTCAATCCTGGCAAATGTTATTTCCTGCTGGATTAACAAGCAGTGCTTCTGTTGAGGGGAGGGGGTGAATCACAGGAGCTGTCTTTTACAGCTCCTTGAAACTAGCTTAAGGATTTGTTCTACTGAAAGAAAAAGTGCCTTCTAGATTAATGAGCAAAAGCTGTCTGTAGAATTTCATAGATCGGGTGACACTGACAGGCTATAGCATGCAGGTATATACATATGTATCTATACGTATGTATGTGTACAGGAACACAAAATAGAAGAAGTGGAATATTATTTCTGTAGCTGTAGAAGTTTGTAGCTTCAGTGTAGGCTGGCTCAACAGTAAGAATTTACATCTGGCTAAAACACCGTATGTTTTTTGGTTGATAAATGTCTTTGTATCTTACAGGTGGTTGTTCTTCCAGTTGCTTTTTGTTTTTTTTTAATTGCACTGACTTGCGAAGAAAGTATACAATTGGAGTTTTCTCTGTTGAGACCCATGCAAAGGGCACTTAATATGTTAATCCCCCAGTCCTGCTTTGTCTGTATAGGCACAGCTTTCTGCCCGTGGAGATCCATGCTGAAGTCAGAAGGGCCTGTATAGTATTTACTTTTTTTAGGTTAATATGAAAGGTTGAAGCCTCAAAGATGGTATTTTACAGCTTCTTTCATTGGACTTCCTGTGCTCTGTATTAGAATTTCATTCTAAATGTTATGGTCTTCCTATTAGGTGTGTCCTATTCTTCTTCCTTCAGCCAAAGACTGGAGTATCTGTCTGATCCTTGAGGATCTGATGCAAAGACAGGAAGTAATTGGTTCCCCTGTGGTCTGCTAAGGACGTTTTTTCCGTAATGGCTGTATTACATATAAGAATTTCTGGGCTTTTTCTAAGTGTAACAGGGTTTCCAAATGGTTTGTGCTGGTGTTTCATGCTGTGACAGTCAATGCAAAGCATTGACATAAAGCGTTACATTAATGCATATGCATGCCAGTAAAAATACATCATGCATTTCTGCTATTATCTGCCATCCCAGTGATCCATGTAATAGTTGCTCTATATTATTTATTGATCCAGTGTAACAGGTCAGGGAGAAGCCTTAGAAAACAGAATTAGAAGGAATTTTGGGAGGATCTCATCTAGACTGCTCCTTTTTAAAAGATCAGGCTCAGCTGGTTTTAAATCACTTCTGACAAATGTGCATCTGTACTTTCTCTAAAATCTGATCATTTCATAGCCTCTTTTGGAGCATTATCTATCTCAGCTTTGCTACCTCAGTCTCTATTTCAACATACAAGTCCTAAAAGAAAATATTGAATTATATTGAATGGAGGATGGTCCCCAGTGGAATCCTATTTAGTATTTCCAATTTGACAGTGATATCCATTCCATGAGTACCATTTTCATAATCTTTTTGCACATATTTCACAGTTTCTTCATTTTCTAAGCATATCATGATCTCCTAATTTCTTAATGAAACTGTCACATTAGATAGCATTCAAAGCCTTGATAAACAGGTTATATTGTTTGTGTTGCTGCCCCTACCCGCAGGACCTGTTACCCCATTATAGCTGATATTTGTTTGACTGCACTTGATATATTCCTGACAAATCTGTTAGCTGTTGTTCCTTTCTTGATGCAAATAAAAACACATTAAAATATTTAGATAACTTTATTCAGAGTTAAGTCTATTAGATTTTTGTAGATAAAAACTCAAGAGTTGTGTGCGTGGTGAAAAGGCTTTCGTAGAAAGAAGGGTCTCTATGTCATCACTGCCTTTGGTTTGCAAGCAAGGGGCTGTTTTTCATTTCTAATGACACCCCTTTCTGAATCATGGTCATGAGGAGGAAATTGCCTGACTGGATTAAAAGCAGGACTTGAGCTGGACCTGACAGAAAGCCATGGAAAGGAGAGGACATATCAAATGAAAAGGGAGGAACGGTGTTGGCGAGGGAGGTCAATACAGTTCTGTGGCTAATGGATTAAGCAGGGGAGGGCGTGGGCAATGCGTAGGAAGAACTTAGACTAGAGGGGAAATTGGAATAGAAAACCCTTGAGAAGAAGAAGAGGAAGAAGAGATGAAGTAAAAATGCAGAGAAGAAACACAGGCTGAGAACTAAATGGACTTGAGGAGAGTCTATTCATTGTTGTGGAGAAGAATTCTCTTTAATGAAATCAGGAAAGTACGTAGACTGTATTCAAGCAGAACTTCGTTCTGTTCTCAAGAAGTGGGAGCAGTAAAGATTGGAGGTAATCTGAAGATAGCTTTTTTTTCCTCATTTATTATCAGGGCCTGCAGCAGTGGTTTAGGGGAAAATTTCTTTTTATATTTCTCAGCTAACTAGAAAAGGTTAACTACAATATTGCTACAGATATTTCAAAAGTACATACAAATAAGCTGTGGATGCCATGCTTAAGCTCTGTCAAAGCTTCTATGGCATGATACTCATCAGATACAAGTCAGGCACTGAATTAAGCAGATCTCAGACTTAATTACCTTGAATGATCCACAGAGTAGCTGTGGAGTCAATGAGAAATCAGGAAAGAAGCCAGGAGTAGGGGAATTTACACTAGTTGAGTAAGAGTCTTTGAAACAAGTTGTTCCAGCAACAGGAGGACAGTATGACATGGATGAATGAAGGAAACTGGATTTGGGACAGATAATGAGAAGACAAACATATTAAGAGGGACTTGAATGGGGGAGGTCAGAAGAATCACACTTTGAAGATTCAGAAATATCTGTTTCTATTATTGAAAAATGCCAGCCAGAAGGTGAATTTAAATGCAAATAGTTCATTTTGCTGTGTAGATTGAGGCAGTAATCGTTCTGAAAAAAACACATATTTGCACCCTGTGCAGTGAATTTCCTTTTCTCATCGTGGCTACAGGAATTGCTACTTTTGTGCTTGGTGTACAGTAAGTAACCTCGTTTTGGTATTACGAAAATTTGTTTTCTATTCTAGCAGCAGCTTATCCACTTTTGGGGGCTTCCTGAAAGTTTTGATGCCTACTAGTGTATTGAGTTCCCCTGAACTATTCTCATGGCCGCAGTCAAAAATAGCGTGGATGGTAGATGCAGTGGGTGTAAAGGAACCATTTAGCTCAATAATAAAATGAAGCTAATACTATAGTAGTGTAATTCTAAACTAAGACTTCATTAAAATGGTCACCATTTAAATTGTTCATTTTTAAAAGCTCTAAAAGAAATCTGTGAACTTCACTCCAGGTTTTTTTTTCCTAAATGCAAAGTTTTGTAAAAGTGAACAACTTCAGACTTAGTTATGTATCAGATAAAACAAATTTTCTATCTGTCACCGTATCCGAGCAGTTTTCAGTTTGAATCCCATGCGAATGAGCTAACTCAGCTGTGAGTTAGCTTCTTGGGTTGAAGTACTTCCAGCCATCTTCCTGGAGGCTTGATTTCTTACAATACAGGGGCAGGGAAGTACGTTGTTGTTGTTGTTAAGGGTGTTTTTGTTGCCTTTGCAACTTACAGTATTTTCTTTTAGTTCTTGAAAATTTTGGTCTTCTTAAAGAATGTGCATAAAATTATTTGGACTTAAATTTAACACCTCAGAGCATCAGGATAAAGTTGAACCAGAGCTTCTGGTTCCTTTTCCCTTCGTTCTATCTTTATTTTCTCCCAGAGGTTGCAACTCTTGGCTATGAATTGGATACAGTAGGAGCTGCAGGTTCTCAGCCACGCTGCAAAAAAAATCAGATGGATTAGTTTAAGGGCCTAATTGTATTAACGTAGGTACATACTTTAATCTTCCTGCATTTGATTTTTTTCCAAACAAAGAAGAGCATTCAGAGAATTAATACTGGATGTTCCAATTACTGTGCTATGGCTATTGGCCTCTGTGCAGTGAGGTAAAAATGGTTTGTATTCACAGGTTATTATGTAGAAAGAATAATAGCATTGAAAATGTTGGAGTGCATTATAATTAGAAAGATCACCTGCTAGTACACCTGTTGGGTGATGGCATAATGTAATATAATTTTATGTTAATTACTTCTCTGCTTTTTTCCTGCACCTGCTGCTTATAATGTCAGAACTGTACAAAGGTCCTAAGAAGTAACAATAGGAGCTGCATGTCACTGTTCATCAGTCTAC